GTATTTGTCTTATACACTCCTAACATCGCTAATCTAGGTACCGGATTTCTTGCTACATTTTATTTATGTATGTTAGTAGAGCAANAATGAGCCAAAAATTGGATACCTTATTAAGTATGGGAAAATGTGATGGAGATGTAGGAAACGTACTGACGGTACTGTACATTATTTAGTACTTATATTGTAATTACTAATGTAATTTTATCTTATGAGTCATGATATGTCACAGAAAACCCTGGTGAGAAAACTCTAAAGGTTTTATGTAACCTAAAATATCAACATAAAAAAGTGCGATTTCAAAAAATGATTAATCTCGAGGGAAGGTCTTGCCACCAAGCTCCGGGAGGGGCCTGTGGGCCACCTCCCCCCCCCCCATCAATATCCGTATTTCTAAAAAATTGTACATTTTCAAAGATAAAATTACAAAAAAACAACATATTATTCTATCAAAAGTATTCTGTAAACAGTGACTTATTGAATTACTTAAGGAAATTCTTATGGAGATACAAGCTTTTCTGAAAATTTTGACATATCAAAATCAAAATTCGAACAGTAGTGTTTGAATTATTGAACTTTGTGTACAAAGGATAATAGTTCCATGGTAATGATTTTGAAAGGTATGACCGATATGGGAGCTATGTAGATTTAAAATGTTAGCAATTAATATAAATCTATCAATTAATGTCGTCCTACCCAGGTGGCTAGGAGGCAATCGTCTCCGAAGCCCCGGCCACTATTTTTTTAGATAAGGCCCTTATTTAATTTGCTTAAACTTAATAAGTAAATTAGTAAAAATAAAATAATAGTTCATGCAAGTTATGATGCCTAGTAAGAGTGAGGATAAATTAACAAAAACACCAAATACAGAAATTGAGTTTAATATTTATCGTGTTCTTGTTATAATTCTAATTATATTTTCAATTAAATGTGTTTTATAACTTACTCATAGTTTATACATTTAGTTCATAATTTTGCCATTCACACTAGTGTTATGTGTTAAGTACGTATTGTATTTGTCTTATACACTCCTAACATCGCTAATCTAGGTACCGGATTTCTTGCTACATTTTATTTATGTATGTTAGTAGAGCAAATTTAGATACGTATTGTCGAATTTGAAGAGTAGAAAAACTCAAAAGAGAGTCCGAGCACAGCTTTTTTTCATATATTTATTTTATAACGTGTTATATTATTTATAAAAAGAACTTTGCTTGGTCCCAATGTATATTTGTATAATAATATCCTTAGTTTAATAATACGTGAAGTTGCTCTAGTACTTACTATAAATGAATAAAAACATAAATCATACTACTAGCTACTACTAAGTAGTATAGGAATTCGGTACGTAGATTTGTCGTGCACGAGGGTGTGAGACAGACAACACACGAGGGTGTCATCGTCCTTTTAATAAACTAATAAACATGACCTAAGCAGTGTGTATGTATGTCGTTACAAAGAGGAGGGGGGGGCGTATAAAATACTTGTACTATAATGATATACAGCTGACACCGAATGTACCCTATACATTAACTTGGATGTTCCTAATGACCTAATGTAATATTGCGTTGTTTTTTTTAATTGTTTCATGGCACTTTCACATATACAGCACCAGTACAACACTCTCCGACGGACCCGGAGGTGTGTGCTGTATGCGTCAACACTGGCAGTTCCCTCATGATGACGTCTCCGAACGTAACTCGCCGGTCGAGTCACACGCTCAGTAACCACGTTTGCCAAATGGACTAGACCGTCGCGTTATTCTATGATAATACATAATTATTATATGCATATTATTATTATTATTATTATTATTATTATTATTATTATTATTATTATTATTATTATTATTAATATATTATTATTATTATTATTATTATTATTATTATTATGGATAATAATAATAATTTAGAACAAAACGTTGTATCAACAAAAAATATTTAACAAATATTTATAAGACATACATTATAATAAAAATAGAGCATATATTATATGTAAGGCTTATTCGTAAGACAATTTCGATCTTTTTTCATTATCATATTTTATTGTTGACATAACAGCCATAATATATCTACACCTACTCTTTATATGTTAGGATGCCTGCCTACCTACTTTCTACAATCAAGCGATTTCAAGAGACGAAATATTAGATCACATAATATGTCGTAGGTACTAGCATATAATATGATCTACCATCTACGGATGAAACCAAATACCAATTATACATCAATGACGATGGTTTTGATAATCGTATTTAATATTATAGCCAATAGACCTATAATGACTTTGATTGTTATTAAACCCAAATGCCTATTAACATCCTTTGACGACGTTCCATCATTGTCCAATTAATATTAGTAATAGATAACCTATACCAGGTGAATATTTTAACGAAATGTAACAATCATTGTATTGAAAACTATTAATTTTTTTACAAATATTTTTTTTGTAGTTTCAAGAAGCTACAAAATGATATTTTAGAAAAAAAATTATATTTTGTACTATTTTTTATCGTTATATGAAATTTTTTTTAACTTTCTTGAATGATAGCATACATTTTTAATTCCAAATTCCAAAGCAACATATTATTCGGGGTATTTTGGTGTTTAAAAATTTAATATGAGTAGTAACTTAGTTAAGTATAATTTATAAGAATTTAAAGTTTAGAGAGTGAACTTCACTCAGTGGTTCCCCTGTGCCACTCCACTCCGCTCAACTATATATATTTAGTATATACTTACTAGTGAACTAGTATACTTATAAGTTATAACTCATAAACTATCTAAGTACTCATTCAAAATTAAAATTACTTCGAAAAATATTCTGGTTTGCAATGAGGAATTAAAAATGTATGTTATAATCATAAAAAGTAAAAACTTAGAAAATAATAAATATAATTTTTGTCATTAATGTTGTTTTTCAACAACTTAAAATTATGCAAAAAAAAAATATAAAATAATAAGTGGTACTCGATATAAGAATCATCCGGTATAGATAATATAGTCCCTATTTTCACGTATTATAAATTATAAGGTACCTACTCAATTATTTTCGGCCACCTAGATAATACAGAACATTATGTTAAGTAGGTATTTAAAAAATATACAAGCAATTTGAATCAGTTTTACCGGTTTATCCTGTATATATTTTAACTTTTTTTTAAACCTACATCCCGACCCTAGTTACAAATTTACAATGTACAATCGTTGCGTATATTAATATACGTATACAATATGTACTTCAAATACACATACAATTATAAAATATCAAAAACTGCAGTTCACAGTCATATGATATGAATCAGCCTACCAAACAAACGTCCGGCTAGTTTTGATGCTCAACTGTGAGATAATAGTAAAAATATTTATATAATACCCATATATAATAATACAATATTAGAATAGGACTTTTAAAAACATGATATACAAATTACATGCGGGTGGTATAAATTTTTCGTTATTATGACATTTGATTAAATATTATGCTGCCACTATAGAATATATACACTTGGTCACAGCTATGCGACTAAGTTTTTTATTATTTCTTAAAATACAGCTATACGCCTATACCTACTGTACATTACTACACCTCCCTATAATCATACACTTTCTAGATGACTTGATGAATCGACGTGGTTGTTTTTTTTTAACACACAACTCGAGTGGTAATTGGTAGGTATTGCATACATAATATTAACTACCTAAATTGTTTTTATGAACAAGTAGGTTCATCTACATACACTAACTTAATTATTGTTTTCATGATGAGATACTTCATATAATAGATAAAACCCAATACCTAGTTATACTTCAAACCTAAAATTCAAGTTCATAATTACAATTTAAAAAAATATATTCGATTAAAAATAAAATTCATCAATATCTATACCTACTGCGTGCCATATTTATTGTAAGCGAATAAGTGTTCTTTGTAAATATTGTTGTCGTTTTTATTGAATATTTATACATTTTGTTCATTTGTACATAAACTCGAAATTAAATAATGTTTTGTATATTACAAACAAAATTTTAAACAAAGCTCATGATGACTGAGAAACCATACTATTATTAAATGTTAAGGACAAGGAACTTACAATGTTTTTCCCAAAGAAAACTCCTTACACTTTTTTTTATTCTCCAGCATATGTATTTTAAATATGCATCACATATATTATTATAGAGTCAATTTTGCAATAATATTGTTTTAGAATAATTTAATAATAATAATCTATTATGTATTAGGCCTACAGAATAATATAATAATAATAATAATAGCTACATTTGTTGGATTAAAAAGACTAAGTAGTTATATCAAGACCCTCGTTGATTTTTTTGTAATTGTTATAAAAAATGGTAAAAAGTTAAGTACTTACTATCAAAAAATTTAATTCTAAATTTGTAGATATTATATATATTGTTGAGTTTTAGTAATTAGTATTCATCAATGATCTGATGTATTATTTTTAATAGAAAACAAATTTATTACATATATACAGTTAAATTTAAAAAATATATATATACAAAATGCATAATATGTGTAAACAATTTGTAAAAATAAAACTATTACAATAAAGAAGTTTTAGAAAATGAAAATTCTATACTGGAGTTTAAAAAAAAAATGTTTTTATTTTTTGTTCAGTTACAAATATATTAAATGATACCACTTAGTTATACATTTCAATATTTAGTAAAAATAAAATTGGGCTAACAAAAAATAAAACATATTATTTTTAAAATTAGTTAACTGTTTAACATAATTGTATTAAAAATATTTTCATATATGATTGAATTGGTAGTACAATTTACTAATTACAGTTTAGTCGATTACAATAGGACCAAAGAAATAATTGTTGAAGAAAAAAAATCAGGGAACAGTAATGAAGAGAAATATCAATATTATCACAAGGTATAACGACTATAAAACCTAAAAAAACTTATACTTTTAAATTGTTGTAATCTTAAAATATTTAAAAAATGAATAGGTTAGGATACAAAGGTTATAAATGTTATAATACATTTATTCTATACAGTTCATACTTATTTAAAAAAAAAATTGTTTTACAATAACAAAAAAATTAATGAACAGGTAAACAAGTGTTTTATAAGTCAATTTTACTAAAAAAACTTAACCAATACAAAACAAAAGTTCAATCATGGTTGAAAGAATACAAATGTTCAAAATGTCAATTTTATTGTTCAGAGAACATTTGTTTTGCACTGCATGTCTTTAAAAACCTTTTTAAAGCTGCAAAATCATCAAATATACAACCGCTCACACATGGATACTGTTCAATTATATTTTTATTTGTATGAACTAAACATGCAGACCACCCTGCATTTTTCGCACCTTTAAAATCCAACAAATAAGAGTCACCAACATGCAAAAATAACTCACGATTTAAACCTTGTTCAATGTATGATTCAGCTTTTCTGAATATTTTAATATCAGGCTTCTCAGACCTCACTTCGTATGATGACAAAATAAATTTAAAATAATGAGAGAGACCAAGATTTGTTATCATAGATTTAATTCTTGGGTCATAATTAGACAAGACTCCCAATGGTATTTGTTCTTTTTTTAAATACTCCAACAGCTCAATAGCTCCATTTTGTACTTTAAATGTTTCTCCAGTACTGTACGTCATCATCAAATCGTCAATTATATCTGTCAGAGGTACATTGTCAGTGATATTTTCTATCTGAAATGCTTTGCTAAAAACATTTTGTGCATAAATTCTCCAATAGTTTTCCCATTCAAGGCCAGTATAAAGGCCAAAATTTGGATGTGCTTTTGTCATGAATGTCCAATTTTTATTAATCAAATGCTCAAGAGTTGATATTTTTACTTCTAAGCCATATTTATTTAGTACATTAGAGTATTCTATAGCAGGAGAACTTCGATATTTAAATAAAGTACCAGTTATATCAAATGTTATCAACTTGAAAGCTCGACGATTCATTTTAGTTAATAATTCTGAAAATTATTATATAAACGTTCAATAACGACACAATCAAACATAATAATTTAGCACATAAATAAAAAGTTATAAAGACAGGTTTATTAGAGTTACCCTGCTAATTATTACAGTAGGGTAAGTAACAATAATTTGCAAATTCACCTTGGATTACAATTTTAATTAATTGCAACTTTTTATTCACATTGATTGTGAATGAAAATTATTGTATAGTAGTATAGTACTATAATAGTTAGATGATAATGTTTTTTTCGAGGGGGACCTAGGTGGCTAGGCGTATCAACTAATTCAGTTATTCGATAATAAATTTGATCGAGATAAACACACATTATATTAGCTCTTTTTTGATTTACCAATTAGTAATAATGATTAATCACTTTTTAAACAACAAATAACAATGTATAACTATACTACTTAACATGTAATAGTGACATATTATTTTATTGAGATATACATGAAGTTTGATAAACTGAAAAAAAAAATATATTTTATTCTAATTTCCGCACTTTTGCAACGAGAAATTTAAAAAAAAGTGCTAAAGAGACTGGGTAGTGGGAACTGAGAATGTATATCTCAGCATAAGCCTATAATGTTTTATTAATTTTAATCTTTTATGTCCCAATAGTGATACACTCATATAATACCATTGCATAGTAAATATCAGAAACTTTACAGTAAATAATTCTTTTTTTTTGTTTATACTAAAAGTAATATATGGATAAAAATTGTGATATACCAGCAAAACGGTAGGCGGAAAAAAAGCCCACAGAAAAAAAGCCCAGAAAAAAAATTAAATATGAATGTGAACATAGTTCCTATACTCTACTCCTAATTTGTAATTAAAATTGCATTAATTATTATAGCCAATACAGGCAATTTTATATGCGAAGACTCAATTAATAAGAAACTTTTTTTTACCTATTTATTCAATGAAAAATTTCAAATATAAATGATTTTATTTCTAAATATGGCTTATGCTTAACTATTAATTATATATAAAAAACAACTTTTAATAGTAAAAAAATGTAAATATAAATTTGAACTCATCTACACAGTATCTATAATATACAGTGTTAAGCTAGAAGTAAAAAAACATCAAGGGTACGAGTATAACATCTTAGGTATATATATACTACATTTATATAAAAATTAAACATGATAATAATTCATGACATTATTTTCACTATAATATATTATATTTTGTTATAGATACACGCCACATTACTCATTAAGAGTATGAGGATGGTTACATGTGTTCATATTTATATTTAATTTTTTTTCTGGGTTTTATTTCCGTTGGCTTTATTTCCTCGATGTGTTTATTTTTTGTTTTTAATGTTCTTACATTTTTTTTCTGTGGTCTTTTTTCCCGTGATTTCAGCAAAACGTATCAGTCAAAAAATCAGACCTCATTATAAATCTGTACCTACACAAATATTGAATAAATTTGCTTATAGTAATTTGTAATTAAAAAAAAAAAAACGTTTAATAAAGACTGATAATGTATATTTATATAAAATTTCAAAATTTAGGTTGCAAACTTAATAAAATACAATGGAAAAACAAATACTAGTTCTTTAACAGTTTGTGAATGAGAACCAGGAAACAAGAAAAGCTGTCACAGCACATTATTATAACTGAATGAATATTATATTTTATTAATTACTGTAAGTAAACATATATAATAAATAATAAGTGATAACTAAATGTTAAAAGTAACTACTTACTATTTATAACAAATATTTGTTAATTAAATTTATAGTTACGTAGATACCTAGTCATCAGTAGAGCCTAAATCAATTGCAAGTGAGGTGAATCCCGCAAAAATTTTTCTTGTCGGATGCCAAATGGGATGATGAGTGCTTGACATGAAATAGAAAATTTACTGAAAATGGTATATGAATAAAAGTAAATAATTTATGGGTGAAAGCAAATTTAAAATCACTTTTTGGGTAAAATACTGGGTAAATGCAGGCATTATTTAAATGATTTTAATTTAATGTATTACCTATCTAAAAAAAAAAAGGTCTTTGTTTGAATATGGTGGGTGGGAAGACAGTGGTAGGTACTCTTAAACGAGATTTACCCAAGTGATTTCAAAAAGCTTTAGCACATCTGTTATCATTATATTCAATGATTAAAAAAAAAATATTTTACCTGTCTTTGAGCAAGAAAATCATTCAATTTGTCTGTAGCAGATAGTATTGAGCGGTATTATAGTTTTTATTTTGAAAACTTTAATAACATTCCGATTTTGTTTCAAATGGCTTATTATCTTATAATAATCTTGTATGTTGTAATTGAGTTAGTAATTTCGTCATAAGCTCAAGTATTATTTTTTCTTCTATATGACTATATCTAATTTAATATTTTTATCTGGTGTTATTAAAAATATAAACAATAATGAGCATGTACCAAGTACCAACTAAAAATTAGTATGTACCTATAATTACTTATCTATAAATATTCAATATTGAATAACAATCACAGTTGTTGTCGTATAATTATTAATTAATACTGCATTAGTGCATTATTTATTTACTTGTTTATTTGAATACACAGATTTGAGCAGTAGTAACATATTATTTAATTAATAGCCTTTAATATCTTGACTTTTAAGTGGTCTGAAAGTGATACTATAAACCATAATATAGTGATAGGTCGTATCTTATCATTCTGTACCACAAAAGAAACAGACATATAAATATATTATAATATAATATAATATAATATATTTATGTCTTTGAAATGAATGAAAATAACATAATAATAATTAAATATACAATGTTAATGCTACAAAATATTATCAGTATCCTTGTATGTATTCACCATAGAATTATTCTATGATATCACAATTCATTCACAGAATAGAGGAATCTAAAATCTTCCAGATCAAGGTGGATTTATAAATTAAATTATTTTTTTATTTATAAACCCACCTTGTACCAGATATTTAAGATATTTTCATTACTGTTAGAAGTTGATAAAATACCATGGATTTCATAATAACAGTTTAACAACAGACCAAAATATCTTTAGATCGTGAGTATAAAACAGAACAATAGAGAATAATATATCCTGGCTGTATATCCGCTAATTGCGGAGGTGATCAGGAGCATCTCCAACGATATGGTTTGGAGGGGGGGCACTAGCTAATAATTTTCAGAAAATATGTTCGACATTATATTTTTTTTTGGTAATTTTTATTTGAGCAAAAAAAAAAAATTGTTTTGAGATATTACTATAATATGAGCTTGGGAGGATATCGTGATAGACGACAGTGTGATACTATTTATCTTATAGTTAGATCATATTATATGTGCAGATAAGCATATATTGTTCATGATTTAAGCACAGATTATATTAAAATATAATGTTTAATATAAAATGTGATTTAAGGTAAGACACAGTCGTGACTAAGCCGAATACTACTTACCACGATTTAAGATATATATCTTAAACCGTGCTAATTACTAAGGCACGGACACAATTTAAGATCATATTATATCTCAGTCCGTCCGGTGGTATAAGGTCTTTGATTTAAGCAATTTTATTATCTATGCTATATTCGTGATAACAATTGTTTTACATATTTTTAGGTTAGGTTCAGTGTAAAAATGTAAGATAAATTTTCAACTCGTCATTTTAGTAACAAACTGTCCGTCTTTCTAATCACTAGTCAAGCCTTGTCGTTTTGTTTAAATATTAAAGTATTTGAAAGAAGTATAACATCAAATTGAAATCCTTAAATATGGATACAATTATTGATAGAGGAGCGCCAAAAGCTCGTAACTTTGAACCATATGCAAGTAACGGAGGGTAAGTTACAAATATGATAATTTATTTTTCTTATAACTTATATTATTGTTATTTATAATGTACACCTAATGATGACTTTTAAATAATTATAGTTCGATTGTTGCCATTAGTGGTAAGGATTTTGCTATTGTTGCTTCTGATACTCGTCTTAGTGAAGGATATATGATTTATACGCGTAAACAATCAAAGTTATTCCAATTGTCTGACAAATCGGTTCTCGGGTGCACAGGATGTTGGTGTGACACATTATCATTGACCAATATTATTCAGTCTCAATTGAAGGTAGAAAATATCTCATTACTTTATAATATGAAATGTTAATATATATTTTAATGTATTACTTTTTCAGTCATATTTGTACGATCACAACAAAATAATGCAGCCTAATTCTATTGCTCAATTGCTATCTACTCTGTTGTACAGCAGACGTTTCTTCCCGTACTATGTGTACAATGTACTTGCTGGCCTTGATGCCAATGGTGAAGGTTGTTTGTACAGTTACGATCCTGTAGGTCATTGTGAGAAAGTGAATTACACTGCAGGTGGCAGTTCTGGGGTTCTCATGCAACCTTTTTTGGATAGTTGGGTGAGTTACACCTTAAATTTAATTTAACTGATTGTACTTGCCTGCTTTTGGAAAATTATATAGGTATATATAAATGTATATATCAACAATTAAATTTCAAAATAAATGCTTAATATATCAATATATCACAAAATTAATTTGATTAGTAAGCTATTTACTAAATGTTCTCTTTATTTGCTCCAACACAATCAATTGAGTTTTAAGTGGTATTTTAAAAACAACTAATAAGTTAGATATGATGTTACTACCTAGTAAGTACCTAACTTAAAAGGGTATCTGGTGACGAGTTATACATCTATAAAAAGTTATATTCAATATGTTATTTATGGACTTATTGTGATTATAGAGTATTAACTATTTATATTAATTAATTTGACAATATTGAATTAAAACCTACACATTTATATTGTATACATCTACTAGCTGATTCTGCGTGGTGTTGTCTGTTATAAAGTCATGTTGCCTTAATCTCAGTTAAAATTACACAGACTTTGGATATAACAATTTGGGTAGTTTTACTAAAATATAAAATTAAATCTTATTTTATTTTCAGTAACCAATGGCAACCTTATTTTAAAAAAAAATATTTATTTTTCGTGTGTGCCTATACCTAGTAATAAGAACATTTCCTCGAATCACAAATGAATTGGTTCTGTTGTTTCTGCTGTATGTTGATTATGAATCAGTCAGTCAGAACTTCTTTTATATGTTATATACAGATTAAAATAAGCATTTATAGCCTTGTATTTGTTCATAGCTTTTTTTAATTTTTCAAATACTACTAATTTATTGTAATCTTATAAAAATTGGTTGCATAGTATTTACCACATCAGGCTTCATACTTATCACAGTGAAACTTAAATATTAAAAATCCTCAAAGGGTAACAAAAAAAATTGTATTGAGAAATGCATTAAATAAATTTGGTTATCATATTGTTAGGATTCTCGAAAATTTTGGATAGAAGTTTCACTGTACTAAATTGTATCTATATAAAATAATTGTGTACTAATATAATATATTTATAATATATCGTACCTATTAATATAATATATTTATAATATATCGTACCTATTAATATAAACTATTAATAACTACCAAAATACTATTATTAATACAAACAATATACTTTTTATTGATCATTAAATTGTATTCAAATTTCATTTTTGTATTAGTTGGGAAACCGAACTGCAGATAACCCCGTTACTGAAGAAGAAGCGCTGAGCTTGGTTAAAGACGCATTTACTGCAGCTGGAGAGCGTGATATATACACTGGAGATGAAGTAGTGTACAACATAATTAAGAAAGATGGAATCAAGACAGGTGTGGTTCAACTTCGTAAAGATTAAATTTTTAATCATATTACAAAAATGCTTCAGTTTTAATAATTTTTTTTATATATTTAAATACACTTATACAATATAATAAATTATATTTTAACTAATTAATTACATTATATTGTATTCAATGGAATAATAAAATAATTTGGTCACAAAACAAAATTAGTTTTTTAATTAATAATAAATTGTAGTCTGTTTGTTTTTGTTTTATTATCCTAAAATATTATTCTATGTCCTAAAAATATCCTATTCTGTAACCCTATTTAATATATTTTTAAATATCAACTAACTTCACTAATTATTTAAGATAAAATCCAATTCAAATTAAATTAAAGGTGATACAATATTATATACTCGGTGTACATCAGATTCCTTTTCCAAAACCATGTATGTCACGGGCGATTATAAACTCTCTAGGGTCTACTCCAGTATTACTTGACGAGTACATGTCAACCCTACTGAGTCTTCAATAACTTTGTTTGTACATTATAATAATATGAACAAACAAATTATTAAAATGTAATATACATTTGAATTTCATTTCAAAAAAGTAAAATATTTAAATGATTGTAAATGATAAAAATAATAATAATATGAACTTATGGTTTTTAAAATGAAAGGTGTCCATTTTGTAGTCTATATTCTCTAATTTGTGTGATATAAATTTAATACAAAGTAATGTTTCTTTCAGGTAAATTAATCTATTAAAATATTTATATCTCCTCCCCTTCCCGTGAAAACCTACCTAAGAAAGTAGAACCTACGACCTCCCTAATTAAATAAAAATACATGACTAATGAAATATGATTTATGGGTGCAGATACATATGTGTATATTTATACATAGCAGATATACCTTTTAAATAATGTTAAACATTTGGGCTTTAAGAAGTATATTGGTTTTTAGAATTTAATGTAAAAAAAGACAGGAAATTATAGGAAATTTTCTTCAAATTTTCACATTCGATTATTTTATATAGGTAATGAAATTATTGGTAGGTACGTTAACTTCTATTTTAGAATAGATCAATAGGTTATCTAAACATATTTTTGTATTTAAATCGTCACGGTAGTCGAGTTTTAGACTAGGACCTATATAACTTACAATTCGTATTGTAATTGAATTACAACAAAAACATAAATTCCCCAACACTATCTATAGGGACATCAGCGGGAAAAAAATTTTTAAAAATGTTTATAAACTTATGCACTATAGGTAGTTCGTATGGTTAAATTTGGCATAAGACAAGCAACGGAAATAAAAGACCAGATTACATCGGGATCGGATCACAAATATTTCTTTAATAATGGATATACGATTTATCAATAGCCCTTAAATTGAATATTAAAGTCTATGGATTTATCATACCTATTATAATATATATATATATCATAAAATCATTGATTATGCCTTCATAATTGATTTGTCTTACAATTTTATATTCTATAAATCTAATAGATAAGTTGTTAGGTCCTGTTTGATCTCCAGTAGTTCGTAAATATGTTTTTAATAATTTCAATCTGCTAAAGCTGAAGTAACTGGCGTTAAGCAACGGATATATTTGGATATGCATCTTTTTTTTTTTTAATAAAAGAATAATTACAATCTATACATAATTTTGTACAATAAATAATTTTGTTGAATGAAATAGCTGTGAATATAACAAAGTGGGAAGGTACTCGTAGTACCACCCGACAGATCAAGCAAGGATATCTCTAGGCCAAGATCGTTTCAATCTTCTTCTAGGATTATCGGGAATTGTACAAGAAGACAAACGTTTGATTAATGGATTAGTATGGTGATTTAGCTTTGAATGGAATGAGAGGAAGTGGGATTTGGTTAGCTGAGAAAGTGTGGGAACGTTTAAGTCTTTGTGAAGATTGGCGTTTTTTTTTATACCAAGGGGCAGAGACGATTTGACGGAGACATATTGATTGGAAGGCTTGTATAGTTCGCAAGTTTGAGGGTTTCGCGGAGCCCCATATCTGAATGCCGTATGCCCATACAGGCCTTAAAATAGCTTTATAGATTAACAATTTATTGCTGATTTTTAGTTTGGAGCGGAGAAGTGGACGGAACAAGTGAAGTCTAGAGTTTACAGATTTCCTTTTATTTTTGAAATGTTGAGCCCAGGTGAGTCGCTTATCAAACGTTAGGCCCAGGTATTTGACTACAGGGGTTGTTGGAATTAAGTTATTATTGAATGAAACTGGAGGGCAGTCTCTAGGTCTTAGTGAAAAAGTAATAAAGGAGGATTTGGAGTCATTTATTTTTATTTTCCATTTTTTTGACCAGATCTGGATCATGTTTAGATGATTTTGTAACATAACAGACACAGTTTGAGGGTTGTCATTTGAGGCCAGGATTATTGTATCGTCGGCGTATACCTAATGATGTATGCAAAGTTTTCGGAGTGTCATGCGTAAACATGGTGTAAAGCATATACTAGGGAAGTAAGATAGGCAAAGTAATGAATTGAATATGAGGGTGAGAAAGAGGACAGCTTTATTTGAGAGCTTTTTGACTATGAAGTTACTGATCAAGTCGTGGCCTTGGGCTTTTCTAGTTGGAAGTTTTTTTAAAATGTGCATAACTTCGCCTGGGCTAGTGTGCTTAGCAGGGTGAGCCATGGGAAGGGGGGAATTTAGTGATTGCTCAATACGTGTGAGTTGAGTTTGGTTTGGACAAATGTCATGTTCCTTGAAAACATTAGCGAGGTGGGATGCAAAAACGTTTGCTTTTTCAGTGTCTGAGGTGGCCCATGTATTGTCGGAATTACGAATTGGGGGAGAAGGCTACTTGTGATTTAATAATTTTTTTGTAGCCTTCCACAGTGACGAATCTTTAGTTGAGAGGTTTTTCGTGTAGGAATGATAACTTTCATTTTTGTGATTTTGGAAAGCTCTGGTTAGCTTGTTTTTTAAGTAATTAAGTCTGGCTCTGTCTGTGGGGTATTTGAATCGTTGCCATTGAGCTCTAGCTCTACGCTTTTCGGCTATTAAACTTTAGAATTTTCGAGTTTTTTTTAGGATGGAGGTTGTATTCTGAGGTGGCCATGGCAGCATCTTGGATTGTGGTGGTTAAAAATTGAACGGCTTGGTCTATTTCAAGAGTAGTTTTTAAGGAGAGTTTAAGGCTAATTTTGTCAGAGACTATGTTTCTAAATTTAGTCCAATTGAATCTGCCAGGGGTGAGGGGTGAAAGATGATCTAGTTAATTTAATAGGCATGGCGCCGAGCTCCATAAAATTCGGGGTGTGATCAGATGAGAGATCGTCTAGGTTTGTAACATTTGTACTTAGGTGGTTTAGAATTTTTGCGATGAATATGTCGAGGATATCGGGTAGTCTATTACTATGAGAAGGCCAGTAGGTAGGACCAGGGGGGGATAGTACTGAGTAATTTTTTGAAGTTAAGACATAATTGAGTGTACGACCTCTTGTACAAGCTGATCTATTTCCCCAGGTGGGGTGTTTATAGTTAAGGTCACCTCCTGCTATAAATTGTTGCCATAGGCTGGAAAAGTAGTTTTTAAAATTTTCGGTAGTTATTTTTGCACCTGGGGGACAGTATATGGAAGATATAGTAATTGAGTTATGGTTTTCGAGGTTGATTGATGTATTAGTGGCTTGAAGATAGTTTTCAGAGTAGGGGGCTAGTGGGTGATGGGATAAGTTGTTTTTTATATAAATGGTGGATCCAGCATGAGCTGTACCGTCAGGATGGCAAGCGTGGTAAACTTGGTGTCCGGGTATTATTACAAAAGATTTTGGAGTGAAGTGGGTCTCGGAAATTAACGCCACGTCTATATTTTTTTCCTCGAGTGTTAATTGAAATTCGTTTTTATGATTATGCAGTCCGGTTGCATTCCATGATAGTATATTGACAGGACGGGATAAAGACTAGTATTGGGTATCATTATTAGTGATAAGTTTATTAATGAGTGAGGTAAGGAGAGTTAAAAGAGGGGTTATGAGTGACTGGAGCTCATTGATAAATGATGATAAACGTTTGGAGAAGGACGATTCGGGAGGCGGATTGTGGTCTGAGAAGTGCAGATTGTTTTTTTTTTTTAGTTACCTTTGACTGAGTCGGCATACGAGAACTGTCGGATGGTAAGACTGGTCGGGGTCTGGTTTACATTGTCTAGAGCTAGTCGCTTTTTTAAAACTTCATCTATGTTGTAATTGTAAACATGCACTTTAAAGCTCTCTAATTCTGAAAATTAATTCAAATTTGTTGAGGTCATTTTCATATTTATTGCATAAATCGACTCCCGATCTTTACAAGTCTTCCATAGGCTGGGAATAAATTATTGTCGGATCTAAAAATAAAACATTTTAAGTGATATTTTCCATTGACTTAAATGTTTGACGTACCTAGTCTGATTATAAGCTATTGTCAATATGTAACATTTTTAGTCATTATTAAATAAGGTCCGTTACCCCAGCACTGCCAAGTTAGAAACTGAATATCAAAATTATCCAGTATTATGTACTTTATTTTGTACAATTTTGTACAATTTTGGACAACCAAAATTAAATTTTGTACAACTCTCCTAACACGAGAAAACGCGATTTTCCCATGTCCGTGCTGCGGTAACGTTCCCCAAGCAATGCCCATGACCAATTATCATCCAATCAAAATTTGACAAGATTTGAAAAGATAATTGATGGTAACCTTGCATGCCAATTATGCTCATCTGGGTAATTATTCAGGGTGTAGAGTTTTTTATTTTGGGCCTAAATATCCGGCAACCATCGGGCCACGTATGCGCCTCTCTAGAACGCAAAAGCCATACAGCATAGAGTTAATGGCCCTCAATCATTATAAACAAAGAACAGTACATGATATGTTTTATGATATGGCTTACGGGGACTTGGCCCCCCCCCCTAAAAATTTAAGAAACAAAAACATACTTTTATACAGATTACAGAATGTTTTAGTTACAATTTATTATTATTATTATTAAATAAATACCTAAACTGTAGAAAATAAGAATTTTACATCAAATTTATATGTG